CCTATCCCCTCGTGTGCCTTAGCCTCCCACGACTATATATATATATATAATGGATTTCAAGTTTTAGAAATATTGTATTTTGTAACGTATTTTTGGACCGTCAATTTTCAAGATTTTCAAGTTTGCATAGATATGCCGATCTGCACTATTTTTTAAGTTTTAAAATTTATAAATAAATATAAAATATATTTTAAGACTATCGCAAAGATTTTCAATATTGAAACCACCTTGCTCGATACTATTTGAAGGTAGGCTCTAATTTGATTGTTTAGAGCCTAGGCTATTTCAAGCCGTACCTTTTTCTTCTGGATAAGTTTAGATAGTCTATGTCCAACCTTTTAGGGCATTATATTTTTCAGTCGCATCTCATTTTCATTTTTCCTTTTTATTTCTTTTTCAGGTTGAGGCGGAGGTTATGTCCCTATAGTTTAGGGGTATTTTTAGTCGTGTCCCTATAGTTTAGGGGCCTAAAAATACCCTTAAATTGGGTTCATGCCCTAGGGTAGGAGGGTAGCTATGGGCCAAGTTGCCCAGCCTAAATTATCCGAGGCTGAAGATTTGACCTAGTAGCTACTAGACCTAGACCAGGGTCCACGGGACCACTTTACCTGAACCTATCTTTGTTTGTTATTGAAATTGAAATATGCTGGTTTACTTTCTATGGGCCCGGCCCAAAGCCATTAACAGACCGGAGAGGGACATAGCCAAGAGCCTAGGCCAACCAAGGGTAGGGCCCCTTAACCTGGCCCAGCTCTAGCCCAACCCAAGCCTTTCAACCTCTACCCAAGGGAGTGAACCAGAGCATACTTAGTTTATAGTTTTTTATAGTGGTTGTGGGGGGGGGGTGTGTGCGTTTAACTTCTAAAGAAGCTAAGTGTACTCCTAAGGAAGCATATACTGTACGCCTACTCCATCAGGAAAAAAAGCTTCTTAGGAGGATCTTTGTTATATGAAAAATTGGGATCCTTCAAAGAATTGTTAGATGATTATTCAAAAAAAAAAGTTGATTATGAGTTGTTCGATGCTTTATATTGCATTCCAAAAATTGGGCAGTCCTTACCCAACCTTGAGTCATTGTTTTTTTTTTCTTTTTTTCTTTTTCTGGCACAAAATGTTGGATTTGGATTTTTCTTTTTTTAATCTGAGGTTAGTTGTTAAGTTTAAGAGGTTATATCCCCAAAAAATAGGGTCCTAAAATACTCCAAGCTTCCATTTCGCTTGAAGGAAGTAAATGAACAATATGCTCCTGGGATCATTGAATCTTTTCCTCGCATTTATTTTGGGCATTTCAGCTTTGATTAGATTAATATAATGGAAAATTTAGTTTGAAAGAAAATTGGGGTAAAGCTGATTAGTGGCTTCCACTTGATAATTAGAGCAAGAAAGAGACAATGGCCATGGAATCCACGATAATGTAAAATTTGTATATGGTTAATAATAATGTTCAATTTATAAAGAATAAACAAACTGGTGTAAGGGTCATTTGTCGCATTGCATGATCTCTCTCTCACTCAGGCAACTTCCTTCCTTTTCTCTCTCTCCCATTCAATTTAGAAAAGATCAGACGAGCTACCTCAGACTTACCCGAGTAATTTTGATTCAAGCATACTAGAGTTAGGTGGTCTAACTCGAAAATTTTAAAAAGTTTAAAACAAATTATAAAAAATTTGGAAAAATAAAAATTTAGTTGTAATATTTTTTTTTATCATTTCTATCATTTTAACAAAAATTGGAAAGTATTTTCGCCATAAATATTATATATATATATATTTATTTCTATCATTTTAACAAAGATTGAAAAATGTTTTCGCCATAAATATTATATATATATATATTGGAAACATCCCACAAGTGCTCTCACTCACTCTTTCTCTCTCTATCTCTAGGTTAGAGAAGAAGAATCCGTGGATGGAAAAGCAATACCAACTTGTGGGTGTAGGGTCCAAATCCAGGAGAAGTGCATTACGGAACGTTTAAGTAAAACCGAAGCAGTAAATATTCCATCTCTCTCTCTACCAAATAACCAAATTAGGGATTCTTCGTCTTAAATTTAGGTGAAACTCATCATTAATTTAGCTATAACTAGTTCCGCAATAGGAGTGGAGGAGATTAGTTCCAATATTTATGGGTGCCAATAGGCTGGGACTACCTTGGCCCTGGCCCGGCCCTTGTCCCTATAGGGCTGGTCTGGCCTAAAAAAGATAAAGAAAAAAAGAACGCAGGGCAAAAGCGGGCCTGCTTTGGCCCTAACCCCACCCCCCGGGCGAAAGTTTATAGTCCATGTCTGACTTTTTTAGCGTTTTTTAGGGCTGGGCCGATCGGGTGCCGAGGCTGCCTGATTGCTGGCGCTACCAATATTCTCCAAAAACTTCAAAATTTCAAGCAGTTTTTGGAATTAAAATTTATTTTTAGAACCCATTGTGTAATATAAAACTTGGAAGCCCTGACTTTGGGCCATTTGCTTGGTCCAGAAAGAAAAATGAGTTTGGATTAGTTTAAATGACGTTGGTTTAAGAATATGACTTGGTTCCAAGCCTTATCTTGTTTCTTATAATTAAGAAATCATGTATTGCTAAGTCATGTGGTAGGAGCAAATAATATACCCTGCTATAAGTCAATTATGGAAAATGGTTTGATAGGGCTGCAGCCCTATCAAAATAAGTAATAACCCCTCATAACTCATCCAAATTTGAAATTTAAGTATTGGAAGACCTTTTCATCAATCTTCTTGACTTGAACATCATGGTTATAGAAAAAATTTAGAATCATAAGCTCTAAAAATAGTGTTTATTATAATAAATTATTTACACCATCAATTTTTCCCTAAAAATAAGCGTTCATTATTACATTTTTTGAGATTCATATTTCATTGTGGGTGTTAGAAATTGATTTTAGAGTCATCTTAAAAATTTACATTAGATGAAGCTTTATTTTGATTTCATAGAGCCTAGTCCTTATAAAAACCTCATCCCTCAAGTCTTGTTCCTCTCAATAAAATGTATTCAAGTCAAAGTATTTGTTCTCTCACTAAGCGTGATGAAGGCATGTGCATGACTTGGATTATTCTTTCATGTTCATCCCAATCACGTTTTCCCATTGGTGACAAGGGATGCAATCATTCTCTTTAAAAATATAAATAATAATTTCAATTTTTCCACTAATCAATTTAATCTCTATTTTCAGGTAATAGGCAATGGGGCCAAGTCAAGGCTGGGGTGCTCGAAGGAAACTCTATGCAACTCTTATAAAACAAGGGCAAAAGAATATAATAATCTTCTTTTCCTTAATATCATTCCATACAAACCCACCTAGAAAAAGTCTCCTTAGGAGATTTTGAGAAAATATTTTGATTTTTGATTTTTTGATTTTTTATGTTTTTGAGATGGATGAGTGGTGCTCCATACAAACCCACATAGAAAAAATCTCATTAGGAGATTATGAGAAAATAAACATATGTTAGATTTTTTTTTTTGAGATGGATGAGTGGTAAGACAAGTAGAGATACAATTCGAAATAAAAATATTTGGGAGAACTTATATATGGCTTCGATAGGTGATAAGATGAGAGAAAGTAGACTTAGTTGGCTGGCTATGTTTTGCATGAACCCAGTACAACAAATGTTAGGAGGTACGAGTTGGTTCGAGTAGAAAGTGCAAAAAGGATAAAGAGTAGGCTTCAAAGGATGATTAGAAGTAGTGAGAAAATATATGGAAACTTATGTTCTCACTGAGAGTATGACACTTAATAGAGCAAAATGACAGATCAGGATTCGTACCACTGACCCCAAACAATTGGAAAAAAGATATGATGTTTGGTTTTTTTTTTTCTTTTGATTGGGGGGAGGAGGTTTGGTCGGTTAAATGTTCATGATACAGATTTTTCTTATCTCAAGTACAATGTAACTTATATTTCACTACATTCAATAAATTTGTGTGCGTCATAATTTTGTAAAATAAAAGTTATCCGGTAAGAAAATTTGTTAGAATATAACATGAAGTTGTTGAATTTATCTTTTTCTTTTCCCTCAAAGTTTAATTTCAATTGTTCTTGAAAATATTCCAATGATGACTTCGTCAAACCGATTTGAGGCCGAGATCAACAAGAAAACAAGACACACGTCAAAGAGTTTATTGAGTTACACCTAATGCCATTGGTGTCTATCCTATAAACAACAAATTTTGTAAGCAAATAATTTCGTGGCAACCAACAATGGGAATCAAAACA